AAAAAATGTGCATTTTTTTGACTGTAGAGTAGCTTTGAAGCGATTGGCTATATTTCCAGCTAGTTATAAACAAAAATTCTCGACTGCCGGTCATTTAGTAATTTGAAGACCCTGGCCGGCTGCCGGCCATCCAGCCATTTCTTAAACTCTTCAAAAACATACCTACATGGGTCTTATGCTTTCATCAGATTTGGTGTTTGGAGCTAAACTGATCCAAACACTACCAGCAAAACATTACAAAACTAAACCAAACTCCATTAAATGACTACGGTGTGCCTGATTTAGCATATCCCTGATAACCCGAGGTATTTGGACTAACGATGAAACAAAATAAGCCTGTTGCCTTTTAAGACAGCCCCTGTTGACGTGGTAATATACATTCCCAGGTCTATCTCTCAGTAGTCCTGCCTGATCGTAATATGACCTGGTCGTGTTAGATACAATGACTAGATCATGTGGGAGGTTACCAATTTTACCCCCTGGTTTTAAAGCTTGTCCACACCCGAAACACGATTTTACTTGTGGTGGACAGAATTGCAGGAAGTAGACCATATAACTACCATAAAGAGGGTTGGGATAACCAGGAGAAGGGGCGAATGGATTGTGCCTATTCGGCCTAAGTTGCGTATGATGTGTTGTAGATTTGTCTCTTGACTGCTGCTGTAGGAGTTGTTGTTGCTGTTGTAAACTAACAGGAGCTAAACCTCGCGTGTGTTGTCCTGATGAATTTGTCAACAGGAGAACAATCAACTCTGCATATATAAAAAGAACTACCGTTCAGCTAGCTGCGAGATTGCATTAATAGTAAAAAAATTTTTTACCGTGGCTTTTGAGGACTGTTTTCAGAGCTGGACAAAACGGTGACTTTGTCAACAGGAGGACATTCAGCTCTGCATATATAAAAAGAACTACCGTTCAGTCAGCTGCGAGATTGCTTATATATCACATAATCTAGTTTTTGCATGTATACATTACCGTGTCTTTTGAGGACTGTTTTCTGGGCTAGACAAGATGGTCACTATGTTGGATGGAGAACTATCAACCCTGTACAAAGAACGTTATATTCTCTTTATTTTCTTATAAATTGGAATTTATAAAAATTGCCTATTTTGTTTTTTCTTACCTCTTAGTCTTATGACTTTTCTTGTTTAAAGCTTTACGCCACAATTTACCTAAATRTTTAAAAAACATCACAGTGAAGAGCAGGATAACTATACTGGAATGTAACATTTTCAATTAACGTGATATTTTCATAACATTCCGAATTCCAAAACCTGGCCAGGAACGGCAATGCCGTAAGCTATAACAAAAAAAGTGTTTACCTTTATCTTCCTTTTTAGTAGCATTTTTAGGCCTTTTGCGGTAGCGCTGTGCCAGTGGAGGGTTTTCAAGTGCGCTATAGAAASAAATATGTGGATTGATAGCGGTTTTTCACTCAATGCTTTTGCATGAGTTAGAAAATTTACTCCTCAGAGAAAATAAAATTTCTATTGTTTTACCCTTAGACATATTGCTGCCGTCACGTCCTAATGCATGATCATTTTTTACCTTATACATTTTATRGTGTCTGTTGGCGTAAGAGGTTAAATTTCAATTTCCGGTTCAGATTCAGACCTCTTAGGATTGTCAAGCCTATAGTTAGTATGGAATGAATTTGTATCTCTAAAAGAAGTTTTAAAATTATTTTCATGCCATCAAAAGCCAAGAAA